TGATGTTTTTGAGGAATGCTGTTTTTTTAATCAAGTTCCTATATCAAATGAACTTCAGATGTGCCTGCTTCGTGTGATCTGTCTTTGCATGTTGATGTCAGGCAATCTGACAAGTTTCTGTGAATTCCTGCACATGTATATGTATGGGCCGATGAGTAACGTGGAACACAGACAGGGCATAAATCAGATCACAATAAAGGAAAATGACCATTAATTTATTTGCATAACTAGCATTGAATTATTCATCATGGTTTCAGTCTGCTCAATCTGTATCTCATTAACATGACTCATGAGGCTTATAAATCGGAGTTTTATCTTAATGTCTGTCTTCATTTCTTTGGGATACTTTTTGCATGTAGGTTTTTGTGTAAATTGGAATGCCACAAATAAGACAGCTTGTGAAATATCTTTATAAGTGTTTAGATATGTGTATGACAGGTAAATTACAAATATAATCTTAATTTATCTCATTTTAAATTCAGTTTTATTTTTTGTAATAGTTTAAGTATATGAATGACTTGTTTTAATGTGCGGAAGTAACACTTCTACACATTACCTTTCATTATATTAATATTATAATGTACATTCAAATACGCTTAGGCTGATGATACAGGGGGCAACTTTTTGAGAAGTTTGCAGGGCAACTTCTACTAATGTTGCCGTCAACGGGCAACCAGGTGAGACATGGGGCCCACGACCGATCTAAAGTATCCAGATAGAAATTTGTTACCCATTCTCAATGGGAAAGTGCCCAAGCAACATTGCTCAAAAAAGTTGCCCCGTGTATCATCAGCCTTACAAGTCCTTTTTTACACATTTTATAGCCTGTTTTATGAGTTGGTTTTATTGGTACACAAAAAAAAGGTACACTGGGTTGTCCCTGGGGTGGTAGTGATACGTTTGCATATTACTACCTAACTGATACCCTTTCAAAAGCACCTTTTAAAACGGTACTGTCCCAGTGACAGGTTTTGTACCCCCGGGGGGGTTTTTCCAGATAGGGTTTCTGGGTGGTTGCTAGGTGTTTTCTTACTACTGGATACATTTAGGTTCTCCATTGTTAGTCTAAGTAAGTCATTTTTGCACTATTGTAACAAATCACTATTGCATAGAAAAGTTAAAGCACACTTCTTTTCAAAAGGCCTCACATTTTTAGGTGTCTTTAGCACAAGTGGTACAGGTGAGTTATGTTCCAAAATATACAATAGCAAAAGTCTCTAATAATGTTTGAATATAATTAATGTTATTTAAGTGTAAAAGAAGCAGCTGATTACAGTATGTTGGAAAATGGTGCATAAGTGCAAAGTTAGTCTTGCATTTGTATATATTTCATGAGTACTTTCCTTGCTTTTACCGTTTTAATGGATGAGCTTACCATTCATTCATTAAACAACACTATTTTTGAATTGCCATAAGGAAAACGCTGATCTTTTCCACACTCTCTCTTGTTCTTCCCTTTACAGAGCTCTATATTTATACATCCCATAATAGTGTTCATCAGCACAGCTGGCAGCAGTCCAGCAGAGTCAGCATTTCACAAACATGAGCAATAACTACACCTTCAAAGTGTTTGCGGACTTATTTTATCCAATAAGAGTTTTAAGTTCGAGATTTCCTGTAGTGTGTCTTTCATAGCTCTCTCTGTCGATAATAACCACTGAATGAGCTCGCAGTCACCTGTCCCTATTGACTGGTTTTCAATTATTTGAATGTTAAAGAACCAGCGAGAGCAGACTGCGGCAAGCACGTGGAGAAGTTAGTGGCTAAAATGCAGATTTCAAAAAGGGATCTGGAGTTAATTGCTAATAAGATGAGTGTTTGTCTCCCGGCAGCATTCACAGACTGCGTGAAAGCCTTATATCAGTCCAAACAAGCATCTCAAATTAATAACTGGCTCAGTCTCAGAGGGGTAATTTTCCATCATCAACACTGGTAAACCTGCCTGGAACACCAGGGGAGGGAGAAGGTAGACGCTCTGTAGTTGTCCCGCATTCATCCTCATTAATCGGAGATCACAACCTCTCGTTTCCTGATAAGTCTCCATTCTTTCAGTCACAGGCCTCACTCTGAGATATTTGTCCTATTATGGAGTGCAGGACTTAGCAGATGCATGGGGATTTTTCTACAAGCTCCTTAATCAACAAGGTGCCCCAGAGACCTTCAATGGCAGATCAAAAGATTTCTGCATTAAAAAGATTTAAAGTCAAGCAAATATTGATAAAGGCCTCATCTGCTGTAGGTCCATTAATCGTGACTGCAATCGCAAAGTGCGTGCTCTGTTTTGTAGCCTAGCATCGGTCAATCACAGGAAGGGAGAAATTCCACAGGCAGGTCCACATTGTTGAGCATTTCATTGCAAAATACCCCGAGGCGAGACCTTTCGTAGGAACTGTTTGAGATTGAAGGGCATTAACTCCAACGCTTTGGCTTAGGCCAAATTGCTAAAGTCAGAGCCGGTCTTTTAAGTTTGTCCGCATCAGTACCCTAAATGATCTCAAAGAGTGTGGAAGTCTCTGAAAACGTCCCATAATTGCCGACTGATACGGATGACAGAGAGCAGGATATCGTAGCTTAAAATGAGGCATGTAATAAGCTGGTATAATTTTTCTCAGAAAGTCACTCACTCTCGCTCTCTTTGCGAGGGGAATTGATGTGCCTTTCTTGGCAAACCATGTGCTGCTGCAAGTATCATGTGGGTTACTGTTCATTTGTGCTAAAAAACCCTCATGGTACAGGGCTGAGGTTCCTCAAGCTGACAGAAAGAGGTTTACACAGTAGAGAGATCTTCTTAGACCTTCTAAAAGCAAGCTACTCTCATTTACGATGCACTTGCTGGAGGAAAAAAAAGGCAATTTTTTTTAGCTTTATCAGCTCTTGGGATGCAAAATATGATCAATGGTAACTGACATGTTCTTGTGCTTTTTGTTGCATTTAAGTGATTGCATCCTTTGAAATGTTAAACATATAATGCATTTAGATTTCATTATGGATGAGTGACTTTCTGCCATGTCTAAACATGATAGATGCACTTCAGTGGTAAGGACATTTTGAGGTGAACATCAGTGGCTTCACAGAATCCACTGACAGCAGAAAACATTAGACGAGCAGCCCTTTCCTACCACTAATTAGAATAGACTTCCTCGGAAGAGTTATTCTTCAGTCCCCCCCCCCAATTAAAGCAGATCTAAAAACTGCCTTTTAAATGTACTAAGTCATGGCAGGTAATGGGTCACTCTTAGCTTTGATCACACTCCTGCGAGAGAAAGGAGCTACTGTACCAGGTGCAATTATCATCAAATACCTTTAACATGAAAGACAGGGATCTTACAGCCTGTTTTACAGGCTCTCAGAATTTTCTGCAAGTCAAATAAAAGCGCAGTTTTTAGCACCAATTCCCCCCAAAAAAACTCTTTCATCATATGTGGAAAATCTTTTTTTCTGAGATTATTTTAACTTTTGTAGACTCTAAAAAATGTTTTCATCAATATAACATCATCCAAATAATGTATACTTAATCATTTCTGTTTACCAAAGTTTCAGAAATATTTTGAATGTACTGTATATTCAAAGCATTTAAAAAATGCAATGAACTTATCATTGCAAGGTGTATCGGCGGCACCACTTTGATTGGACTTAAAATTACATTTTAGTGGTTTATTTTTTATTTATTTATTTACTAATTTATTCTTCTTTTTTGTGTTCATCCCTTGGTTTCTTTAATGGTTATGGTTTTCTTTTGGCTTTTTGTGTTTTTATGCACATTCCAGAATCTGTTTGCACACATTACATAGAATACAACCTAGACAAATATGCAATATTAGCTATATTTGAAATGTAATTTTTTTATGAATGTACTGCAATATGATTATATAAACGTGTACTGATTGCTGTATAGCGGTCTACGTTAAAAATAGTTTGTTATTGTTTATAATTATTCATTGCATTTTAATTTACTAAAAATGGCTTAACTTTTGTGAAATTAGTGAAAAAAGAAATCACACTTGAAATGGAAGGTCAGGTAAGGGAGCATTGCATTGTGGGAAATGGTATCCCATGCAATACTCCCTGCTGTACACTTCACACTTTGACAAACACAGTTAAGAAATAAACTGTGCTAAGTATGCATACTGCATACTGCAAAAATATTATTAGTAGTGTTAGTATTATGTTAGCTTTAAATCTGTGTTAATATGTAATGCATATTCTTTCTGCTCATAGCTATACATTATCATAATTAGCATTAACATATTCATAGTTTTATTAGCACTGTGATCCTTTGTAATCTTGTAATATTCAAAATTGGTAGAACAATATCGTCTTAATTGAGAAATATTGGCTCACTGTTGGGAATTCAATGTGGAGAGTATCAATTCTTTGATAGTTTCCAGTGTTCGTACTCATGTGCTTTCTTCAGTTTCAGTTCAATCTATTAAAAGTTGATTAAAAAGGGATAGTGTCAGAATGAAATATGTAGATTTTCATAGTAAAAAGCTAAAATATTCACTATTTATTATAAACTGTCATAAAAGTTTATTTTCCATGTGAGACTTACTTCATATTCACTGTTTTTCCAGTTTATACAGATTTTACTCATTATTTTTATTCAGAGTTTATTCAGATTTTCTATTCTTATTCACTCATGTTCTCATACAGCACTGAATATTAATAAAGTTGTGTTGCCGACTTTTTATTTGGAATGACATGACAACAAAGGTTCTGTGATGTTCATTCTCATTAAGATTCACTGTAGCATGAGGCTACATTTTCTTGTACCCAGGATGAAATATTACTGTATTAAATATATATTTAATTCAACTGTATTATGAAAAACAGGTTGTTTTTGTTTACTAACCCCCATAATGAAATAAAACCTTCGATATCTTTGTAAATGTTGGTTCCAGATAGCAGCAAACATCCACACAAATGTCGACTTTATACTATTCAAGTTGAGCGAAGCTACGGTGGCACTATGCTTAACTGCCTACATTTCTCGCCTGCAGATATTAGTTTTGGGAGATATTCTGGGAAATCCTTTTTGGAGTTTGAGGGCATTGAAGTCGGTGCTGTGTTCAGTGTCACGGTGAGATTCCTGACTGAATCCATGTATGGAACCCTGCTGTATTCAGCCAGTGCCATAAAAGGCATCTTCTTTGTCAAACTCTATGTTTCCAATGGAATGCTTCAGGTAATACTGCAAATGCATATAACATTTTTTTTCAATGCTATGTCATTACCTTTAGAAAACAAAGAAGATGCACAAGGAATAATTAAATGGAAAATACTGATACATATTTTTCCCATATACTCCAGTATGACTTTTTATGCAACCAAAAGGAGGGAGCTCAGCGGATCAATACAGCACAGCAGGTTGCTGATGGAAATGAGCATGTGCTGCTTTTGAGGTAAGAGAATTTCTCCTCCAGTATCCAAATAGTTTGTGATCATTGAGATTAAAATGAATCAGATGTCAATTGTATAAATATAAGAAGAAATACATGGTGAAACTGGTCGTTAATGTAAAGTCGCCTTTGGAGCTTATCTATAAGTTGAAATAGAACACAAAGTAATTAGAGTATAGAAAGGCTCTGTTGATAGTCAGTCATGATTAATTTATTCCACAAGAAAAAGTTTCCAATAACAGGACGACTGATGTGTGGCAGCCAATCAAATGCCACTGAGATCCTAACAGAGACCTCAGTGCAGGTAATATTCACATTATATTATTCATTTACATGATGGGGAGTATTTCTGTCCAGCTCTTATACAGTACTTACATTTGTTTAAGTCTGTAAATGGGTGTAGTATAACCCCATAATTGTCAGGCCTGGGTGAATGATTGCTGAAAGGTCTTTGATGTTCGGAAGCACAATTCACACAGGTCCATTAGGTTTGTTTCTTTTCATCCAATTCAGTAGAAAGTAAAATGCACTGTAACAGTCATTGAAAGATTTGATCAGATTCTGAGTCTCTGAGAGACAACGCAGCCTCTTCACATCCAAACGGTTTAGCCGGCTCCCAATCTTGAGTGCATCAGCCTGTTTATGTCTGTTTTTCATAGAGATTTTGAAAAGCTTCCAAGATGCGCCAGCTGCACAAATCAGTCATTACTTTTGTGCCAACTAGCAAAAGACTTAGTGTGAAAGAGAGTTATCAAAATAAGACTGAGTAGGGGGAAAAACAGGACTGAGTGACCATATCTTTAAAGGGGTCTTATTATTCAAATCAGAATTGTATTTGTTGTACTATGAAAACATACAGGTGAGAATTCACTAAACCGTTGTCACTTTTTTTATACTGAATGTCAGGTCAAAAACCTGTCTTATTCACTAACCAGGCATAATGTGCACTGCCATAGGTGCTGTTAGTATTTAAAGGAAAATGCCTGGTTTACTGCAAATTAAGCTCAATCAGTAATTGTTGATTGATAAAAGCTAATAGCCACAAAAAATATATATTTTCAACTTATTTGTTATTTTCTTTAAAAATAAATAAATAAAATAAAATCTAAATATTTCTGTTAAAATTTTTGTTTTATTTAAAGGAGACATTATGCCACTTTTTACAATATGTAATATAAGTCTCTGGTGTCCCCAGAATGTGTCTGTGAAGTTTCAGCTCAAAATACCACACATATGCCTATTTTGAGTGGAAGCAGAAATACGCAGTTTTTCGGGCCTGTTTCTTTAAATGCAAATGAGCTGCTGCTCCCCACCCCCTTTTTCAGAATATAGCTGCACCATTACAGCTTGGACCTGCTAAAAACATCTGTTTTGGTTATGATTATCATGTTTATCACGCTGAAATCATGCGTTTTAAACCATATTAGTTTAAACTTCTGATATATGGTTTTCTGAGCGCACACATCCGAAGCACACGGACAGAAAGCGGCTGTCACAGCATGTGAGTACTAAACTAAGTTCTCATTCACACACAAGTTTACGTTAAAAACACACATGAGTTACACAAACAGTCGGTTATGGCTGTAAAGGTAAACAGCTGGGAAAGAAATCGCATATTTATTTAGATCTGTGTGGCAGCAGCAATATACAGTAAATAAATCAATAAATCCACTGCTCTCTTGTCCCCTCTCAGGCTGGGACTCTACACAGTGTTCTGTGCTCGTCTGTGCAGCCAAAGACAGAATAGTTAGCATGTTTTTCCCAAACTTTCGCCATGGCGTTAGAGCTGGTACACCGTTGTCGCTTGCGAAATCAAAATGATGGTGCCGTGCGTGGAAACTTAAAGATTAAGGGACGGTAATATTATAATGAGATCCCTTTGCAACGTCACTAGGGGAGCGAAATCAGATGGCTCGTTTTTTTCAGACTCTTGCAGAAAAAGGCTTACAAAAACAAAGTTACTGGGTTAAACTTTTTCACATTTCCTTGGTTGATAGATGCACTGGGAACCTGATTATAGCATTTAAAACCTGGAAAAGTTAGATTTTCAGGATATGTCACCTTTAAAGGGGTCATGTGATGCTTTTTTAAAGATCATTATTTTGTGTATTTGGTGTAACAGAATATGTTGACATGCTTTAATCTTCAAAAAACACATTATTTTTAAAATACTGTACATTATTGTAGGTTCTCTATGCCCCGCCTCTCTCAAACGCTTTGTTTTCTACAAAGTCCCTCCTTCCGACAAGCGCAGTCTGCTCTGATTGGCCAGCTGACCCAGTGCATTGTGATTGGCCGAACACCACAAGCACTCGTTGGAAATGTAACGCCCCTTACCATAATGTAGGGTAAACAGGTCAATAATTTAATAATTTAGCTCAAAGGGAATCATTTAAGATTTTAAAGGGAACTCCACCATTGATATGCAAGGGAATTAGGACAGAATCACTGTTTTACGGCGGATCACTGAGACGGCCAGCGAGTCAGTGAACGAG